TCATTTTGTTTACTCTAGGAATCCATTGTTCGGTGTCCTGTGCTATGACTGAATATTATCACCACCAAAATATGAATCTTAATCAGCCACACCTTAAGAAAGAGAGAAATAGGGAATATGTGTTGATGTAGGTGAATGCTAATTAATTGCAAAACTGCTGGTATATTATCTTATTTTTGAGTATAGTATTCATTAAAGCATCTGTCATATTACCCAATTGTATTTCTTACCTAGTACCCGCAGTTGCCCACCTTACCAACTGTAATTCTTAAAAATATTTTTAATGGAACTGGTCTGATTAATTTTCCAGGTTCATTCCTCAATTTTTTTTAGAAAAGAATGCATTTTTATTTTCCTTAAAATAGTTATGAATATAAGTATTCATTAATTCTACTGTGAAACTACTACTACTAACACTGATAGTGAATTCTTAGCATTTTTTGTTCTTTTGGAATGTGTTGCTTTAGGAATAATGATTTTTCTTAGGCATTATTCTTTCTTAGAAATTTTTTGAAAACCAAAGGAGAGCTATTTCCAATACTGTTCCATGAACGGTTCAGATGACTTAGACGTAATAATACATGGACTTCAGTTCTTTGTGTATTTGTTGAATATCCTTCTTAGCTTTTGAAATAATAGTATTTTTTGTAACAAGAGAAGGGAGTGAGTTTTGCTTATGGTGTTTTAAAACTGCTGAACTGAGTGAGGTCCTTTCTTCAAAATCACTTCTGGCTAAAACAGGGAACATACTACTCAGTGGGACTAAAAAGAGTTTGCAGAGTTTGACTGGTAGGTTTTTCCTTTTTTTTTTTTTTTTTTCTCCTTCCTCCCTTTGTTTCTGTTGTTTGTTTGTTTGTGGGGTTTTTTGTTTTTTAGAAAAATATGAAGTATTAAATACTTCCACAAATAAATCTATATGAGTTTGTGCGAAAATTACTTTGGACTTTACACAAGAAGTGTATAATATCTAAATTAATTAATTTGGGAATAATATTTTTTTCACAAAAGCAGCATGACATTTACAGGTTGGCTGCAATAGTTCATTAGTTGTTTGCTATAAGTGTAGGGGAATTGTCTTGCCCTGTGGTCATGTATGCAAATTTTAACATGTAGTGAGTATGCAACAAAAATATTCTCTTGCTGTTAATTTTTAACGCCGCCACAGGTCTGGGGTCAAAAGCACAATGAATATAGAAGCATACAAGCTAACAAATAATGAAGTAATTAAAAAAACCTCCAGTCAATTATATGTATAAATGCAGTGTTCAGCAGCTAATCTTAATTGGCATCGCTCAGTTTAATCATTGGAACTGCATGGATGTATTCCAGGGTAGAATATTTAAATATAAATGCTGAGGTGTATAGCAATGAAAAATGAGAAAGTGAGTGTACTGAGAGGCAACGAAATTACTTGTGAAAAAGCATTATTTATTTATATTTGTTTGATTATGAATACAGATGTAGCTAAGGTTTCCATTTGTCTTTCTGCTGACAAATGCATTGGAATTTTTCTTTCAAGCTATCTAAATTATGCAAATGTGAAGTCGACAAAGACAAAATAATACATATTTTGTATAGGCTTTTGATTAAGTTTTTAGAGAGCTTGCATCCCTTCAGAAATCATAATCAGACTTTTTCAGTCTAAAGTATGCAGTTGTATACAGATACATATTAAAAATATGTGATAAATTCCAGTCTAAATTCCTATTTGTTGTTGGGTTTTGTTTATTTTCAGTAATTCCATCAAGCTAGTGAATCTGTGCTCTATATTTATCAGCACGTGGCTGACAGCAGCTGGGTTCATACATTTGGTAAGTATATTTGAAAATACTTCATTGACTTTCTCATGGATCATTTGCTCTCTGAGCTACTTTATTACCTGTAATTGCCTTGCTCTGGATAATCCCTTAACACATCTATAGAGTACAATAAAAAAAGATATCACAGCTTCTCGAATTTTAGGCTTCTACTCAAAACTAATTCTGAATAACAAGTAATATAACCTCAATAAAATATGACTTGAACTTCATGAATGAATACAATTTACCAGTAGGTGGCAATGTTTCCTAAATAACTACCCGGAGTGCTTCCTGGAAGGGGTTGGCATAGCTGAAATGATATTGAGGTCCTGGGAAATCAATGGTTGCACCAGCAAAAAAGCAGTTCTGTATTTCCACGAGAAGTAATGGGATTTCTAACATTTCAGGTAGCAATTTTTTAGAGAATATTTCCTTCTCTTTTGTCTTTAAATTTCTTTTTTTTTCATGTAGCTTTCAGTCACTGATAACATAGATTTTTGAAATAGCTGTTTACTCCGCACTTAATACCTGAAAAAATGTAAGATAGTATAGAAGTTCATAAATGTGAACATACATATATATGATAGGTATATGTCAATTTTGTATTTTAAACATTTTAAACAAAATAGCTGTTTACTCTGCACTTAATACCTGAAAAAATGTAAGATAGTTAGTATAGAAGTACATATGAGTTCATAAATGTGAATATACATATATATGATAGGTTTATGTCAATTTTGTATTTTAAACATTTTAAACTAATAGCTTTTACTAATTTATGTGGTAAATATAATTAAGTATGCTTAAGTGTTTGTCATTTAAGTACGTTTTATGATCAACTTAGAATCAGGAAATATTCAAGATACTGGTAGTAATAAGTAACTCAGGAATGGTTTTGGACTAATATTCTAATTTAATTATATTGATGTTAACCCAGAGCAATTTAATTGACTTCACTTGAATTACCTTGAGATACATCCAGCTGTATGAAATTCAGAATGTTTATCTTCTTGTTATACCAGATAGTAATTTAATTTTCACACTTATAAAGAAGCACCAAAATTTTGGATATTTTCATTTATGATATACTTCTCATTCATGGATGACCATTTTTTTACTCCCTTTGGACAAATGTAGCATTTTTATCATCAAAACATTAGCTTTTTCTATTTTTGAATCAAACAAAAAAATGTGCTTTTTTAATTACATCAGGAGAGAGAGAATACTATTTGGATTTTGGTGGGGGGTTTTTTGTTTGTTTGTTTTCAGCATAAGTTTTTCTATTCTACTGTAGGAATCTTCAAACTTCAAACTTTTTATTGTGGAAAAAGTTTTAGAAGGCATAGTGCTTTTCCATTTATAACTTTGTCACATACAGTAGCTAGCTTCTTGGAAAAGTGTGGTGAATTGACCCTGGTTTTATGGCAAGTGCCCACCAAATCTGCTCTATCCCTCCCCCTCCTCAAAAGGACAGGGGAGAGGAATTATAATGAAAGGTCATAAGGATAGAGAGAGATCATTCACCAGTTGTCACAGTCAAAGCAGACTTAACTTGTGGAAAATGAATTTAGTTTATTACCAATCAAATTAGAGGAGGATAATGAGAAATAAAACCAAATCTTAAAACACCTTCTCCCCCATCCCTCCCTTCTTCATGGGTGTAATTTTTCTCCTGATTTTCCACCTCTCCCCCCAACAGCGGTATGGGAGGATGGGGAATGGGGGTTACAGTCAGTTCATCACATGTTATTTTTGCCTCCTCCTCAGAGGTAGGACTCCTCACACTCTTCCTCTACTCCAGCATGGGGTCACTCTCATGGGAGACAGTCCTCCATGAACTGCTCTAGCATTAAGTCCTTCCCATGGGTTACAGTTCTTCACTGCTTTAGCACGGGTCCTTTCCATGGTGTGCAGTCCTTCAGGAACAGACTGCTCCAGCGTGGGTCCCCCACGGGGTCACAAGTCCTGCCAGCAAACCTGCTCTGATGTGGCCTTCATCTGTCCACGGGGGCCACAGGTCCTATCAGGAGCCTGCTTCAATGTGGGATTCCCATTGGGTCACAGCCTCCTCATGCATCTACCTGCTCCAGTGTGGGGTCCTCCATGGGCTACAGGTGGACATCTGCTCCACCATGGACCTCCATGGACTGCAGGGGGACAGCCTGCCTCACCATGGTCTTCACCACAGGCTGCAGGGGAATCTCTGCTCCGGTGCCTGGAGCACCTCCTCCCCCTTCTTCTTCCCTGACCTTGGTGTCTGCAAAGTTGTTTCTGTCACGTATTCTCACTCCTCTCTCCAGCTGCAAAATGTGCCTTTTTTTTTTTTTTTTTTCCTTCCTCTTCTTAAATATGTTATCACAGAGGCGTTACCATCGTTACTGATTGGCTCAGCCTTGGCCAGTGGTGGGTCTGTCTTAGAGCTGGTTAGCATTGACTTTATTGGACGTAGAGGAAGCTTCTGGCAGCTTCTTACAGAAGCCACCCCTATGCCATCCCCACTACCAAACCCTGGCCACACAAACCCAATACAAAAAGTAATAGTGATTCACTAAACTTAACATCACCAATGCCATTAATAGCTACATAATGCTTTAAAACAAAAAATTAAGAAGTAGAATTATATTACAAGTAAGATTCACTCTGAACAAATTGGTATAACATGAATTTTCCTAGCTGCATTAATAAGTTACATTATTTAGTGGTGAATGGAAAAGATGCTTTCCATAAGTAGTATGCTTGGCAAGGCTATGCATATTGGCAAAAGAACTGTAGTGCTATAGTTGGGACAGGGTTAGGTTCTGTCTTGGTTCAAAATAAATAACAGGAAAGGATCCAGACTTTACATTATATGTGAGATTATATATATATACACACACACAAATGCACATGGATATATCAGTAGAGTTAATTTATGATACAACTCTAATAATTCATTATATGTTTTTTTGTTCATTTTAGGTGGAGAACTCAGGGGATCCATGGGAAAACTTCCAAAATAATCAACCGCTAACATATTGGGAATGTGTTTATTTACTAATGGTTACAATGTCCACTGTTGGCTATGGAGATGTTTATGCAAAAACAACCCTTGGTCGCCTTTTCATGGTCTTCTTCATCCTTGGGGGATTGGTAAAAACACTTTTTAAATAATTATTATTCCACCTACCTTAATACTTGATCATGTATATCTCAGTGTTGTAATCAAAGAAATAATAGGTCAGTTTTTGTGAATTAAAATTAATTATAAAACTGTAAAATATGTTTAATACACTACTTTTTTTCTATAGATAAATATTTTTGCAGAGCTTGTCAAATTAGTCCAGTTTAGTAAAGTCAGAATTTTTCTAATCCATTTAAATGAGTAATGCATGTGAATACATGAAGTGTCTTAATATTTCAATTTATAATGTTATTTGTAGTCTTTTACTTTTTAGTGACTGACTGTAGTGCATTTTTTTTTTTGAGGCTGCTATTGATACTTAAAGGCACTTTGCGGTTTCAGAAGTCCTACCCACCCTTCTGTGTTCCTTCCCAGAATTCCAACAAACACTGTGGCTTTGGACTGCCTTAAAGAGCAGCTTGCCTGATCCAGATGATGGCAAACCACATTCTCTTTAATTTCAAACATCTTTTCATGTCATGTAGCACAATTTTAACTCATAATTTATTGCATGGCCATAACCGGTATGCATTTATATCAGAAAATTCTCGTGTTCTTTGTCCTCTGTGTACATAGTACCAAAGTTACTAATTGTCTTATGTCAACTTTTCTATCATTTATCGCTGTTAGTAATACTATAGGATCTGTTGCATTGTTATTCTCTAAAACAGCAAGGTTTATTTTAATATTTATACTGTGCAAGGTAAGTGCTTTATGGATGACTCACAATATATATTGTGCATATACTTTCATATGTATATTGTTACTTTGCTCTCATATATTGATTTCACATATACATACATCTTACTGAGGTGATATGTATATAACTAATATTATGAATGCCATATATGAGACACACACATATACATATATGAGTATATATATAAGCATAAATATATGCATTCCCATCTATGTTTATTGACATATGATGGCAATGATGATGTCAACTGGCAGTAGCTCTTCGAAGTATCCAGCCACAAGGAAGATGTTTGTTGGACAAAACATGGCAGAATATTTTTTATTTTCTCCTCAAAACCTTTTTTCTATTGTGTTATTCCAGTCCTTTTAAAAACATAAATTTTTGGAAGAGTTTTTTTTGGGGGTGGGGGAATGAGCTTTCTTTTTCTTGACAGAGGGAATAACCCCTAATTCCATCTTGTTTTTGTCTTCTTTTGAATTCTAATCATGGGGGGAAAAAATCTGTATTTTAAAATAGAAATGTAACAGTGACAACAATACTTATTTTTGGGTTTTTTTTTCAGTGGAGCTTGGATAGATTTTTTCCCCTCTTCTCCTCAGGAAGAATTAGACAGGAGTGTGTTTTATAATTAGATACCAGTTTGAATTAATTTGCTCTTTGAATTTTGCTCTTGTTTCATTTTGTGTGCCTATTTTTTTCTCTTTTGACCATTTTCTTAATTTATAAGATGTGCACCTTCTCCAAGACCAACTTTTACATTAAGCCCTCTTGTTTTGTTTGAGAAGAACTTTTGTATTTTTTAAATTTTCTTTTTAAACAACTTCATAGATCTAATTCTTTTGCATTTTCAGATCTTAAAGATATATATCTTCTGAAAATATTCACCATCCCCCTTTCTTTGGCCTCTCTTTTTAGTCTTTTCTTCTGTCTCCTATCTTCTTCTTAGGCCATGTTTGCCAGCTACGTCCCTGAAATCATAGAATTAATAGGAAACCGCAAGAAATATGGTGGTTCCTATAGTGCGGTTAGTGGAAGAAAGTAAGTATCCCAAGAGGCTCTGCTGCCTCTGCTGCAGTAGAACACTCTCTGCATGCCATTTTCTTTTTTTTTTTGTGTTTTTGTTTCATGCATGTAGGCAATGTTTGCTCGCTACGTGCCAGAAATTGCTGCTCTCATCCTTAATCGGAAGAAATACGGCGGGACTTTTAACTCAACCCGAGGCAGAAAGTAAGTCAAAAAAGACCAGGTGTGGTTGTGTGACTTTAAGAAGCCCCTGAAGGTGGTAATAGCTGATTCACAGCTTATAAGGCTGTATTCCTTGACATCAGATGTTACCACTGGAGAATTGTCACACTATAATTAGAGACCTGGGCTATGCTATGGTACAAGTCACAACATTTTGCCCCTGCTTCAGGAGAACCTGCATACCACTCAGACTACAATGACATATTTTGTGAAAAATGCTGCTATTGCATGTGCTGTTAGCTTCTGGAATGAGGTCGACTTGTCACTTCACAGTTTTGGACATCAGATTATCATGTGGTCATCTCTTAACTAAGTGACAATGATAATTCACGTGGTTTTCAAACAACTCGGTTCTTTAGAAAACTTGTGTTTACTGGAGTGCAAAATACAATATTTATATTGATCAGGTTATTCCATTAGACTGACTATGTCAGAAGTCTGATAGTGCTGTTTCTCATTGTTCAAACAGCAGATTGAGATCTCATGCAGGTCATACTGTATTCATATGAATATTGCAAACACTCATGATTTCAGGATCCATGACCAGGGATTTTAAAGTGATCCTTTTCCACACAACATGTAAAAAGAGCAAGTAGTAGCTTTAGTATCAATACAGTGTGGAAAAAACCCAAACCTGTAAAAAATACTGTTTTTACCTGGTAGCAAGAGTTTTGTTTTATTGGACAGCATTAGCTCATTACATTTCTATTAAAAGCCTGTTTGTTTTCTTGACCAAGTTAAAACTAGCTCTTTCTGGCATTCTCAGCATCTAGACTTGCTGGGATATAGCCTTTAATGAACTAGATGTACTCGGTGATATAGTAGTTTCTCCTCTATATCACCTTTAGTGTTGCCATCTTTTGTTTCATTAGATATCATTGTGACATTCACTGGTTGAGATATATTTGCCCCAAAAGACTAGTCATATAGAATCCTTTCCCTATAACATAAAGAAGGTACTGCAAGCAACACATCTAATTAATTGGCCCTCTCTGTACTTTAAGAAAATATGATTTTTACTTTATTCCTTTCACCCACACATCATTTTATAAATGTGGATTATGGCTTTATCAAGTTGTTTCTTCTCTCTATGCTGTAAATGTTCCACTGAGCTAATTCTAGAGCACTGTTTTACATCTGGCTAGATAAACCAAAGTTTTTTCTTTAGTTATAGCTTATACTATTGTGTGTTCAATAGTACTCAAGCAATTAGATGACACAATTGAAAACTTCAATACTTTAATTTTTTGAGAGACCCTCAAGTGCCTAAAGTCTTTTTTGTTTTGTTTTTTAATTTAAGCACTAATATTGGAAACTTGCATCATAATTCACTTATCTAGAATAACAAAGTGCCTTAATTTATTTCTGAGATAGAGTAGTAATTAACTAAAATGTTTATTTATGACAGAGGCCTACTCAGTTCCATATTTGTATTCGCACTTGGTTTCTCAAAGAGAAATTTTTCAAACACAGAACTTACACCTCTGGTTTTGAGGCTCCAAAGGAGTAATAGCAGAGTAGAATATGATCAAAAACTGTTTTACATACAGAGTTTTAGTCTCTCCTCTTCTACATTGTCACTAGTACCCAGCATTGCTCAGATGTCTCTAAACTTGGACCTGATCTTCAGTCAGAACCCCACATCGTGAAAAGCTCAATTCCAGATTACAGGCTTCTGCTAGCTTTGGGGCGTGCTTAATTTTATTTTTTCACCTTTTCTTTTTGTCTTTATTTATATGCACAGTCTCACTTTGTTAACAATCAGTGCTTTTTCTGCTGATCTCTTCTGCCCATGTAACTTGTCGTTTGAAACTCAGCTCTGTCCTCTGCATACAAACTGTTTGCTTTAACTTTATGCATTGTTTTCTGGTTCAATTATTAATTACTAAGTAGTTTAAAGATGTCTTTTACTCATGTGGGTCTTTCATCAGAGAATCTGAGCTTGAGAACTGCATGGTAAAAAGCCATTAGCACCCCTTGTTTGATGTTGCTTTTGCAGTCAGTAGAACAAGATTGATGAAATGTTATATTTGGCCAAAATTTAAGTATTCATTTGGAATTCAGTGTTGAGAGAATGTATTGTCAGAACCAATAAGTTTTCCTTTGCTTGGATATGGGCATGTGGTAGTAATTAGCAATGTGAGGTTTTCAGTTGAGCAACCAAGCATAGATTCTGGCAGCAAACATAATGAGAAACTATGGTTGTTCTATTCCTAATGTCAGAAAGTTTCCAGATAAAATTAAATGCATGAACAAAATGAAAGCATCGAAATTTTGTTGAAAGATTTATTTTCAGCTCTTAAAATAGCAAATGTGTGTCCTTTTTAACTTTCTCCAAAATAGATAAATACATGGAATCTGCTTTGTAACATTTATATATGTGTTTATACATGTTGTCTCATGAACTATGCTGTAGAATAACATGCTTCTGTAGGATTATTAAACACTTAGGTGGGAAGTTAAAGTTAACATATGACTATATATGTTTTGAGGATTGCGCTACATTGCTTTAATACTAAGGAGAGCCTTGCAATAAAATTGAAACTATTGAAGCATCTAGAATGTATGCATAAAAACCATTTTTACTAGCTTAATAAAGAAGAAAAACAACCAACTCACCAGCAAGTTTGATCTCACATTTAATTTTGCTTTTTGGCCACTAAAGTCCCAAAGGACACATAAACCATATAGAAATTATTTTGCACAATAAGGAAGCTTACTTCTCTCTTAGAAGAGACACATACATACAGAGTTTAGGAACAGAAGTAGTCTGTAGGCAGAATGCAACCAGTGATAACTGGTTAAATTTACTAGATACTAGGTAGTTTTATTACAAAAGTCCATGGAGAATTTTAAATTTTAAATTTAATTTTTAATCTCTGATTTGTAATATATTCCTGTAATGAGACTTCTAAGGTCTCATAGAACATGAAGCAGGAATTTTGTTATAGTCTTTGATTGAAGTTTCACGTGTTAAATACAACAGTACTTGCTGCTGCTTATATACCAAAATACATACCAATGTGTCTACAATGACCAAGGCCAAACATACATATTTAATGACAAGTAGGGTAATGACTTTGACACAAATGCAACCTAGTGTAAAAAAATTCAAGTAACCAAAAAATGTAACAATCCTTGTCTTGAATTTCAGATTTATAAGCAATGAGATCTGCTCTGTAGGTCATGAGATTGCTGCTAAACGGCTGTTTTGCTGCTGTATACAGATCAGCTCATCAGAAGACTCTGTAATGTTTTTACTTTGTGCCCTGATACACCAGAATCAACTGGTCAGTAGACAAGAAAAGACTGTCCTTAGTTTAGTTATACTGAGAAAAAAACAATTACATCTTGACATAGTCACCACTAAATATGAATGATATAGAGAAAACCAAGCTGTAGTTACAAAGAAAGAAAATTTATATTAATGTATATGACTAAGATGTAACTGGGAAATAAAATTCAGGCATGGTAAGCCATCAGAACTCTAAAACCTATTATTTTCTAATATTGCTAAGAGGTATCTTAGGATAACAGTGATGTGGCTTACAATATTTTCCACACTGAGTCCTACATAGATTTTCTTTCACATGAGTAATTAAGTCACTACTGTTTCTCCTTCCTGTGCATTTCCCTCAATGAATTCTGTAGTTTTGCATTTTGGGAAATACTTTTTGCAAAGCAGGTATTACACATAGTATTCTTTACATATTAGCCAAAGATCTGCTGATTTCTGTAGAAGTAGGTTACAATGTAACTCACTTTCTCTGTGGAACAGTTGGCATATTTTTATTATTAATAGACTAGTAACTACCTGACAGAGTTTTTGTGAGATTTAACGTAGTCAAGTTTATGCTTTCTGAAGATGAAAAATGTTTTTAAATTGCAAAGTAGACAAATTTATAATGAAGGTTAACTCTTATTAATTGCTTCATCACCAAATTTTGTCGTCACACTGAAAAATACCTGCAATATTATATAAGATATATCTCACTAAAACATTGTGAAACTTATTAAATCACTAAGAAATAACTAATGAAAGCATATACTTGAATGAAGTTATATACGGGTAATGTCATAAAGCAAATTTGTGACAAACTAGTATCATTATGAACAGATAAAGTAGTTTGTAATGACAAAATACTGGATACAAATACTGGAGTTAAAAGCTAGGTGTAACCTGTAGTTGAGTAGAGAAGGAAAAAAAATCTGACCTTTTGTTAGAGTATCATAAAAAGTCTATACATTAGACTTTAGTTTAGAAAAAAAGATACAATTTTATAAGTATAAGCAGGGGAAGTCTTATGTTTTTTTGTTTGTCCTTTTTTTCTTCAGTTACAAACTGAAATGGTATATAGCTTGAGTACGAATTATATCTTCTCTTAGACATTTTTCTTAATAATTTTGAGGCCAGCAACTGATTTCCTACACCCTATCTGCATTTAGCTCTTTTCTTTTTAGGGCTTGTGATTTGACTTACTGTGTTTAGGGTCTATCTGTAGAACTCGTGTGTTAGTATTCAAGGGATCATTTTAAAGTGGTATTTTTAAAATGAAGTACCACAGAAGGATGAAAAGGTACCTGCCACCTGATCACCATAGCTGGTAGACTCTTGTTTTTAGAATGTAGAAATAAACAGATTAGTTCATGCATGCATACCTCTGGAAGAGATAGTGATCACTTTGGGTTTGGATGATTTTCTGAAGTGCTCCAACCTCTTAACTATAAAGTTCGGGGTTTAAGTCTTATGAGACAGAGAGTTTCCTCAATAAATTATTGCTTTTGGATAAGTAGAATTCTGCTGTTCAACTCTTTTTGTGATATTTGGAACTTTCACATTCAGTGCTAGCCAAAATAGGACTTACACGATCATCTGTGTTATTTATCATAGAATCTCCTGGTTGGAAAAGACCTTTGAGATCATCGAGTCCAACCATACCTATCCACTACTAAACCATATCTCCAAGTACCTCATCTAGCCATGTTTTAAATACTTCCAGG